CGCTAACAGCCAATTAAATCTCCATGAATAGCCATCTATCTTTGTTGATCTGTATAGATTGGAAGGAGACAATTTGCATCCCAAAGTTAATCAAGAGATATTAGACCCATCTTTTTTCACAGTTAGCAGTTTGCAGTGCTCAGCTAACCAAAAGTTTGGCAGTTCAAACACTGAGCCACTCTGAGGGAGCATGACCTAGTGATCTGCTCCTATAAAGACTACCCTATGGAGCAGCTGTACTCTGTCACATAGTGGTGCTGCAAGTTGAAAATCGACTCACCTACCACTATCTAACTACTAGATTCTATGTGTGTATTAATCAGATGTTTCTCTTTTCTATATCATCCATCTATCCCTTCTGGTGTAGTCATAGTTACAATAACCAACTGTTTCCTTAAATATGAACATCCTGTAATTTTGAACTAGTGATGATATCTTGGAGCAGTTTTATAGTAATTAATGTTGTAACAACACATATAAGTGCCTCTGGGACTTGTGGAATTTTTCCTTTTTCAGCATTAAACTATTATTACAAGCAGTCTAATTCCAAATAACCTGTTTGTTCTCTAATGAAGAACAATTTGTCAATTCTTCAAGTAATTGAAATAACCACTACCACAAATTAGGAGCTCTAGTAGCATAGTACCTGAGGCACTTGACTGCTAACCAGAAGGCTGTAGGTTCAAACCCACCACCCACTCCTCAGAAGGAAGGTTGGGCAATCTACTTCCATAGTGATACTGCCTCGGAAACCCAAGGAGGGGTTGTTATGAGTCAGGTCCGACTTCACAGCACATAACAACTACCACAAATAGATCAGAAAGGCAGTCTATGAGAATACTAATACACTATTTTCTTTCAGTTTAGTTTAGTACCAATATCAACTATTCTAGAAAATTGGAAGTTTTAAGTCCTTTGTGGGAACCATAGTCCAGTCCTCCTTTGGTGCTGGCTTCACAGCTTTGGTGACCTTATGGGGCAGTTCTACTCTGTTCTGTAGGGTTGTTATGAGTCAGAATTGACTCGATGGCAGGGGGTTTAAGTGGGAAGATGAATCAAGCTTGGTGTTTTGTTTTTTTGTTTTCCTTCCCTTAATAACCATATTGTTGATGAGCAGCTCTTGAAAAGGTCTTTCCCAGTGTGGTTACACCCTGTCTTTCCTACTAAACACCTTTATGTAGACTGAATCTCCTGATCTATAGGGGTGGCAGATTTCTTTGGCAGGTTCTTCTAGGTCCTTAGACTTTGAGTGTCAGGTTTTCTAGGAAAGAGAGAAAGAAGTCCTTTTAAGTATTGAACATGATTGTGGTTCAGATTCAATTGAGCTAAACAAAGAACATAGCTTTAGAAATTCAAAAGAAGAGACCCCATGCTTGCATACAGGTGTTCTAATTTTTAACAAAGCTAGTGGTAAAGTTCTAGCCTAAGTTGCTGAATCTCAGCCAACTTAAAAAAAGAAAAAAAATTAAGTTAGATTTATCAACTCTATTTGTCTGGAGGACTGAAGATGATAAGGTGTATGATATCTAATTGGAAACTGAAAGTATTTGCATAATTATTGAACAACAATAGAAATAAAATGACTTCCTCTCTCTGATTTAATATGTTCTGGTATCTCAAAAGTGGAAGTTGTACATTTTAAAAAAGCTTTTAAAACACGTTGTCAAAGCAGTTGCTTTTAGAAAGGGAAAGACTTTACATCACTCAGACATCAAATACACCATAAATAAATAAAATGTCTTTCTTTTCACAGACATTGATTCTATGAAATCCAACTATCACCAGGTTCATGGTAGAGTTGCTCAGGGAAAGCCACCTGCATTTGCCTTGGAAGTATCCTGAATTTTTTTTTTTTTTTTTTTATTGTGATTTGGGTGAAGGTTTACAGAGCAAATTGGTTTTCCCAGTAATACATAGACATTTTGTTTTGTAATATTCAATTCAATCACCACAGTTCAACAGCATTCTTCCCACTTCTTACCTGTGTTTACCATTTCCCTTCATCCTTCTTTCCTATTCCCTTCCTGCCTTCTGAGTTATATCCCTGGGCAAATGCTAATCTTTTTATCTCCTATGGTTGATTATTCTAATGAGTACATACCTTCCTGGTATTATGGTTCCCCTTGTAATAGTATGGACAGATTAGAACTTCTGGGAGATGAGTATGTGTTCTGAGTTCCATATTCATCTTGTTCATTTTAAACATTGCCTTACTGATAGCTATAATCACATAAGAATGTGCCCCTGCAACCACATTCCTAAGATCATAAAACCAAGACAGGAACAGCTCACATGACAGGGCAATTGCATTCCTTAGATCATGAGACTAAAGGAAGAAACACTGCAAAAGAAATAATGCAAATATAAATTTACTACTTTAATGGCCTTTCCTAATAATATCCCTATTCTTGAGATGTCTCCCAGCTCACCATCTGTGGCCATGGTTAATCAGTTTTGGAACCAGCCCTTCTTTGTCACCTGATGAACTAAGATGGTCAATCCAAAACAAGACCAAGACTCCAACCAAGGGCAAACAGCAACTGCACATAGCCTGAAGCTGGGGAATTCATCACAACCTTGTTCTACTTCCTGACTTTAGCAAAAGGGTCAGGGTTTTATGAATACCTGCTTGCACAAGGTCTTTTGAAATCAAACCACGGCCTTTAAAAACTATACTATAAAAACCACTAGCCTGTAAGGCTCTCGAAGACACACATGGCATTGCCTCTGGCCTGGTGTGTCTCCACCTTGCAAGGTTACTATCCTCTTACTAAATTTCTCTCTGAGCTACAGCTGACTTTCTAGTCATTATTTCAGAACCAAGTCTGCAACACCCTTATGGACCTCACAACTGGACCAATAAGCAATATCTCAATAAATGGAGAAAAGATTGAAGTTGTCAAAGATTTCCTATTTCTTGATTCCACAATCAACACCAATGGAAGCAGCAGCTGGGAAATCAGATGACATATTGGACTGGGCCAATCTGCTGCAAAAGACCTCTTTAAAGTGCTGAAGAGTAAAGATGTCTCTTTGAAGACTGTAATCTTCTAACCCAAGCCATGGTGTTTTCAATAGCCTATATGCATGTGAAAGTTGGACAATAAATAAGGAAAACTGAAGAAGAGTTTGACGTTTTTGAGTTGCGGTGTTGGTGAAGAATACATAGGTTACCATGGACTGCCAGAGAAAGAACAAATTTGTCCTGGAAGAAGTGCAGCCAGAACGCTCCTTGGAAGCCAGAATGGCCAAACTTCGTCTCACCTTTGGTGGTGGTAAGCATCCACCATTCTCTGGAGAAGGGTCTCATGCTTGGTAAAGAGGAGGGTCAGCGAAAAAGGGGAAGGACCTCAACAACATGGACTGACACACTGGCTACAATGATGGGCTCAGGATCGTGGGCCTGGCACAGGACCCAGCAGTGTTTTGTGCTGCTGTAGGTAGGGATGGAGATGACTCCAATGCAACTAACAACATGCCAGTGGTTATAATCTCATTTGGGAATTGCCCGTCTTTGACATGTTAATAAAGCAGGATTAATAAAGGGTGTATTTTGAGTCAATCTCTTTCGAGATAAAAGAGATTAAACAATATACCATCTTTTGAGATAAAAGAGATTAAACAATATACTAGAGAGATGAGAAGTGCCTAAGGCACTTGACTGCTAATCAGAAGGCTGGAGATTCAAACCACAAGCCACTCCTCAGAAGGAAGACTGGGCAATCTACTTCCGTAGAGATACCGCCTGAGAAACCCAAGGAGAGGTCACTATGAGTCAGAAATGACTCTATGCAGTGAGGTGGTTTTTTTTTTTTTTTTTTAGCTGACCGGAGGACCTAAGATCTGCGCAGAAGAAGCAGGCTTGATCCTACTTATTCTGTTTCCCCTCACCCCAAGTTTTTGGTTGTCTTCTGCAAGCACTCACCACTGAAACTACCAAACAAAAATCGGGCACTGCCTCAGCAAAGTCCATCTGCAATTAACTCCGAGAACCACGGTTCCCGGCAGGCGTTGCGCGAGGCGGCCAATACGCAGGCGCACGCCACCGCCCTCCGACTCTGCCTCTCTC